TGAACCAGTTTCTGTCTGAGTGTGTTGCTGGGTCTGAAGTACACTGGGATGTCTTTTGCTTTCCTTTCCAAAAACTCTTACAGATTCATTCATAACCAAGTTATTTGTTATGGACTTCTCATGGGCCAAGATTAGCAAATTCCTCTTTCTTTAATGTAACAAAAGTAAATAATCTTTACTAAAATCGCTGAGATTATATCAGTATATGAAATATAGAGAACTGTTGAGGGCAGAGTTGAAAGCTGCTTGATGCCTGCTTCTGTGCTCACAGTGTTGTGTCTGCCTCCTGCAGGGTTAATGTTAATGTCCAGATGCTCCTTGCTGCTCCTTGCTGAGCTCACTCTCTTCAGTTGCTTGTCGGATATTGGTCACAATGGCCACCTTCCTCATCTTTGCCCGGAAAGACTTACAGAGGAAAAAGTAAACAACAGGGTCCAGGCAGACATTGAAAACTGCCACCATGGTGGTCACCTCCATTACATAGTTCAAGACTGAGCCTACAGAGTCATTGCTCCACAGAAGACTATAGGGAAGACGAGCCAGGTGATAGGGGACAAAGCAAACACAGAAGATGCTGACCAGCACTAACATGTTCCTGCGAGGCTTGATAAGCTTCTCGGAGCCAGAGGAGGCCAGCTGCCTCTGCTGTGCCCGCAACACCCTGCGGGAGGTGCTGTAGTAGAAGAAGACCAGGGATATGAAGACCACGAGGAAGATGATGGGAGACAAAGTGTGGATGATTGTGAAGAACAGCTTGATTGATTCACTAAAGAAGGGATCACAGCAGCTGGGGTTAGAGGTCACTTGGGTCTGGGTGATGAAAAACAGGATGGTGTATGTCACAGTCGGAACCAGGAGAAAAACCCAGGTGATTATGGAAATGATGTAGGCCGATTTTACTGTATGCAGGATGTGAGTTCCTGAAGGCTGGACGATCTTTAGATACCTGAAGAGAGAAGATAAGGGGGTTGAGTAGATGAATCAGTCACAGTGGTTTCAGATCAGTAGAAATCATTAATAAAGTCAAAAGTGATGTCAGCGCTTTAGTCAGGCTGTCAGGCGTAAACAGCATTACCATGAAATGCAGTGTGAAATCAGTAAAAGGTTCCTCTAAGCTTCATCATGAAGTGTACCTGTTGGCAGCGATGTAGCCCATGAATATGATGCTGGCGTACATGTTGAGGAAGATGGCACAAGCTCCAAAACTACAGTAGAGCTGACGAATGATGACAGAGCTGCTGGCATAGTGGGTGATGCGGAGTGGTAGAGAGAGGCAGAGCAGGAAGTCAGCAGCTGTCAGGTTTTTCAGGTAGATCTTCAAGCTGCTCGATGCCTGCTGCTGTGCTCCACAAAAGTGAAACTTCATGATGAAGCCATTGAGGATTAACCCCACCTAAAGAAACACAGAAAGGATGGAGAGGACAGGACTTCAGCACATACACTGAGAACCTTTAACACATTTCTAACAACACAATCTGACTATTTGAAACTTACCAGGAACACTAGACTGTAGACCAGCATAAAGAAAGGATAGGCTGAAGTGTTAACAGCATCACAGGTCTGGTTGGAAGATGAAGTCACATTTATTGTGTCAGCCATGTTTCTGGAGCTGAAAAATAAATCCAATTTATTGAGATCCAGAAGGAGCAGTCATAGAAATCCACTGCTCAGTCTTAATAACCAATTATTCTAACACTTTATTATTAGCATTGTTTTTTAATTCATTCTTCTTTTTTTCAGATCTAAATCACCATACTCGGTGTCTCAAGACCAGTGTTGGGCAAGGTACTTTGAAAAAGTAATTACTAGGAAAAGTAACCATTGTGTTACTTTAAACTTTTTTTGACCATCTGGGGTCCAGGGTTTAATTGGCCATTTTTGACTACTTGCCTTTCTTTTCAGCACGATCTCACATGTCTGAATTTACTTTTTGACATACTGCATTAACACAATTGATCTGAAATCAGACAAAAAACATAAATTCAGAATCAAAGTCAGTTTTTACTGTAACAACCAAAATCATATTTAAAAAAATCATTTTCATGGCTTGATTTCAGGAGTGTCGTGTGTGGAGGTGAGGAAGAGAAAGAGACGACCCAAACGCAGAAGTCACGGTGAAAAATGATGCAGATTTATTGGATCGAGAGAACTGACAAAGCAGGAACGGCAGGACTGACTAACTGACTGAGAGACTGGTTGAACATGGGCAAGAACGACAACAATGACGATATCAATGACGTGACCATGAACTGGTGAGACTGAGGAACTTAAATACACAGGCTGAATGATGACGATGATTGGAAACAGGTGAGTATAGGGCTGAACATAATCTGACTAATGACACATGCAGTGGAACTAGAACATAATGCACAGAGACAGAAGGGTGCCACAGATAAACACAAGCATGTAGAAAATAAACTGAACACGAACAAACTGAAATCACTGAGTCAACGACCCAACCCTTACACTTGACATCCAAATATAAATTGGAAATTCTAAAAACCCACGCACAAGTTTTACAAAGAACAAAGTTTGCAGCTATTTGCCTAAAAACGCAGCCACATGCCTGATACCTGCAGGCCTTACAGTAGGAGGTGTATCACTCCTTTTTTCACCTGGAGACAGTGTTTACATTGCAGTCTGCCTTTGGAGGCTTTTTGACAGTAACTGGGACATTCAGCAGTCGCCTCTTGTTCTGACACACAACACAAAACTATCGACTACACAACACACTAATTACACTCTCTAAACACACTAAATGTCACAAATCTCTCACATCTTAAAACGCTCTCACAACCATCACTCCTAAAATCTCCCCCTCTTCCTAAACAACCAAATACCATGTTGCCATATCATTTTTTTGATTGGTCAACATTGTACATTTTTCCACCAATAGGAAAGGGTGTTTTTTGCTTTCTAAACTTTCGGGGGGTCATCAGCAGAGACTGCTTTCTAGCGCTGTCCTTAG